ATAGCAAATTAGAAGTTATGAAACTTGGGTATGAGTCTTTTGTCGAAATGTTAATATATATTAATATATTCATTAATATTTGTAAATATATATATCCACTAATATTTATAAATATGTATTTGTAATCAATTCAGTTACTATTATATATTAATTAGCTTGTAATCGTTATAAGAAATTATAAATTTCAAATTATGAATTAACACCCTCTTTACAATTGTTTGGAATTGGATTTAAAACGGAATATTCATAAGAGAGTTAATTACTCTCATATGTTGAGCTTTTGGGAATTAATGCTTATTCGATCGATTCTATCCTGGCTTATTAAGACATGACTTTTATTCACAAACACACATTTATATATAGGTCTGTTTTTTCAATCAATCTTACCCCGACTTAATAGGACGTGACTTATATATGCAAGTCAAAAAGAATTTATAACCAATCACATGGAAAACTTCTTTGATAATCGGTGACGGTTGAGGTATAATTTCAGAATATCTATCTGCTCTAGTACAAGCTTGAAGTTCAAAATCAACAAAATAAATATGAAACCAGATGTATATCGAATAAACAAATCTATTTTATAGCTTCTTAGCTCATTATAATATAAATATGTGACCAATTATTATGAAATATGAATACTATTATTATAATATCATTAGTACTTGAATTTTTTATATATAAATTCATTTTTTTACTACAATCACATCATTGGTGATCTGCCAATTGACATAGGTTGTTCAAATTAAATGCCTTGAAAAGAAAGATACATCTAATGAAAATTGGTACATAGTACTAAGTAAAAAAAACCCAAGCTAATTAAGGTTCTTATACATAGCTAAAATTTGTGTTCTTTTTGTAACTGTTTGGACCAAGAACAACTAAAATAATTATAAATTCATGCTGCAGGAGCATAATCATAGTCTCCATCATCGTCATCGCCTTCCAAAGATGCAGCAGGAGCATAATCGTAATCTCCATCATCGTCATCGCCTTCCAAGGATGCTGCAGGAGCATAGTCATAATCTCCATCATTATCATCTCCGTCTCCTTCTAAGCATGCTGCTGGAGCATAATCATACCCATCGTCACTGTCATCATCTCCATCTGAACACGACCTTCTTTTCTGAAATCCGATAATCTTGAAAATGGTAGACATGGTATATTATCTCTTTCTTCTTGGACTATAGAAATATGATTTAGATACTTGTTGGCTATTGTATGATCTATTAGACAATATGTGAGTTTTTGTAGTGTGTATGTTGGTGAAGAAACCATTTGCTTATATAATGGAAAGAGCCAAAGCTTAGACTCATTTGGACACATTAGGAAGTGTGTTATGTGATATGAAGAATGTGTACATCTATATGCTTGGGTGCATTAAGCTATACTTTTGGGGTTCCCACTTCCAAAATTCACTTTACATCTCATCCATCATATTCCCTCTATTCAGATATTTTCTAACCTATTTAATGTGACATATTTAAAATCATTATTTCAATTTTCAAAGTCTTCATTTCTTAAACTCTTTTGACGATTTAAACAATATCACATAAATTAAAATAAAGAGTATAAAATAAAGTGCCAGGATTAGGGCAGAAGAGTTGCAATACAACTAAACAAACCTGCGATAGCTATCTAGGAGAGTTTGAGTTGTTGTTGCTAATTAACACTACGAAATTAGAAACTGATTCAACATTTTAATTTGATGGATTTGTTTTTAGGAAGAAATATTGTCAAATATCATTCGCCATCTAGTTTACAAAATATGTACACAATCACAATGTACATGTAATAGAGAAAATTGTGCAAAATAGCAAACACTTAAACCATAGTAAATGCTATAACTACTATTTAGGGAAATTCTAATTCGCCGTTGTAGTTTCAGGCAATCTTGTTATTCGCCTGATTTGTATAAATCAAGAATTTATATAATTCGGTTCCTGATTGTATAATTTCAAAATAATTGTGTATATGCTTACCCTATCTATTTGTATACGATTTTTGAAAAATTCATAATAAATTATTCTCTTTGTATATTGGCAAGCGAAATATACAAACGGAGTTCTGAAAAATTCCTAAATATATAAATATAGAATTTGTATATACTTACCATATATGTATGTTCGCAAGCGAAATATACAAACAGAAAGAAATATACAACCACAACGTCCATAGCAAACGGAACTATAGCCATGTAGCGCAATTATCGAAACTATAGCTATAGAGCCTTATTATTTCTATTATGTTTGCTATTTCTGAATTTTTCTCTATGTAATAGACATCTTATACTAAATATACATATATATTCACAATATATACCGTCGAAATATATAGTTAATGTATACTTCAACCATGTTGATAATTAAACTAATTGACTAAAGATGGTACATTTACGTAAATTTGTATTGTTTTTTATGATTTTACTACTAAATTTTTTTGCCAGCAAGACGTGTGCATAGCACGTGGAAGTATGTTTTGCCTACGTGGATGCTTTGTTGGCATGCCACATAGACAAAGTACTTGTCAAATTCTCTAATGAAAAAATATGGTAGCTAGATAATTATAATAATCTATAGATAGTGAAAGTGTTATTATATCAAAATTGGCAAATCGTACATGTCTACTATGGTTTTGTATGAAGATTTTTCATTTTATAAAATAGGATACCAATGCTTAACATATATCTTAGGGTTTTTCTTAAAGACGAAACATATTTTTGGTTATGCAGCTGGAGCATAGTCATAATCAGCATCATCGTCATCGTCATCATCATCGTCATCTCCATCATCCTCGAACCATGTAGCCGAAACATAGATACACCCTATGACATGGCGATCCATCATCGACGTAGACTCATAAACATGACTACCAATGTCATGGTTGCCCCTTTCAACATGGTAATCAAAGAATGTCAAATTACAAATTGAGTTCATCAATATTGTTGAAATTTGAGACATATTGTTGGGACTTTTTTGTTTCAAGATTGAATCAAAAGATATGATAGTTAAGGGAAATTGCAATTGATATCTGAGTTGAGAAGAAAAGGGGAATATATAAGGATGCCTAGTGAGTCATGACATAATTATGTGCTCAAAATGGCTCCACAAATGTACTCTAAATGATAGAGCTAATTAAGTCGTGGCGGATTCAGAATTTTCAGTAAAATTCGGAAAAAAATGTAGTGTTTGAGATTTGAATTTGGACGTCAAGGTGGATACTAAACCACCTCAATCATTAAGCCAATGTCTAATCTTATGTTCAGGAGGTTCAAAATCTGTATATATACATAAACATTTTTTAAAATACCTTATATATACCGTCTAATTTTTTACCGAGGATATTCGAATAACCCCTCGCTATCCTCTAAATTTACCCCCGGAGCTAATTCAACCACATCTTTATCATGATAGGATACTATTCTGTAATTTATATCGTCAGATCATTAATTTGAGAAGATAGAGAGGTCATCTTCGATATACTCAAATATTCACCTATCGATTAAACGATTCAAATATAGTTCAATATGTCCTTTGACGACAAATGCAAAAATGTCGACATTCTTTTGTGCATGAATTCTCAAGTACCATTCTTGAGAGTTATTCCAGATGCAGAGCTTTAATTTATGGCAAACAAAAAGAAAAAAACAAATTAAACTATTTATTCTTGCAACAATCTTATAAGGTTATAGTCTGCCATCAACAATACGAGATGACGACACGCTTCAACATGATAATCGATAAATAAACTAAACATAGGTTGTGATTTTAATTTTACCAGCACACCCTATTATTAAAAAGAATCTTATTTTTGCTCAAATGAAAAAAAAAAATCTCACATGAGTGGCGCGTTGAAATATAAATAAACTACTATGCATGCCATATAAAAGCTCTTCAAATGTAGAAATAATAATGATACATCTATTAAACTAATGATATTTCAAAGTCAAACTTATATAAACCTAGATATTATTCCTCAATAAAAAAATAAACGACGTACTAGCTAAAACCAAGATTCTAAATTACTTCCTCATGTGTGAATTAGACATAGTAGTCGTTGTGTTTATTCTAAATCCGCCACGATCAAGAGCATCCAATGAATTAATTCATGCAGCTGGAGCATAATCGTAGTCACCATCATTGTCTTCTCCTTCCAAAGATGTAGCAGGAGCATAGTCATAGTCTCCATCATCGTCATCTCCTTCCAAGAATGGTGCAGAAGCATAGTCATAGTATGCATCGTTGTCATCACCATCTCCTTCTAAGCATGTTACTGGAGCATAATTGTATCCTTCATCATCTCCATCTGAACTCGACCTTCTCTTTTGAAATCCAATAATCTTGAAAGTACCTGACATTGTATTTATATTTGAAATATGATATTATATTTTGTGTATCTCTCTTTGATATGATATGAAAAAATGTTTTTTTTTTGTTTGAATAGGTGAAAAACTAACCATATGCTTATATAAAGGAAAAGAGCCAAAGTGTGGACTCATTTGGACACGTTAGGAAGTGTGTTGTGTGACATTTAGAATGTGCAGATTGGGAATTCACTTTACATGTCATAACAATAAATGAGGAGTTTCACCCATTAAAAATCGAGAGCCAAAATCAATCGCCAATCTTGATGTTATACTTTAGAATCAATCCAAAATCAACAAACTTGACTATGTCGACAAATGATGGATCGTTTAAGAAAATCGACAGACTATCTCAATTAAAATTGAGGGACATTTATCAATTTCTTTAAATAAAAAAACAATCTAAATTTATTTTGAGAAAATAATAGCGTGCATAAATTTTGCGTATTGATTTTTAATCCAATTATTTGCTATGACATTAAACAACTCTACTACTGAACCACGCATGCTCTTCGATGAAATTCTTTTGTTGTTTCTTAATTTATATTTCTCAACCATAGTTTTGCACTTAAAATAGGAACTCCGTCGATTTTCTTATTAAAAAAAATTGTAATTTTCCAAAAAACATATTTATTTATTTTTTGGTTAACCCCTCACTCCCTTAAAAAGAGAAAAACTTCTGTGAGTTCAAACATCAAACACCTAATAGGCGCTAAAATGGAGAACCCATCTTCATCGGAGAATTTGCTTCAAACCCTAAATACCAGAGGATGGTGTTTCCGGGATATCAATCTTGTAAATTCACTCATTGCAGCTCAATTGCCGTCATCATACACCGTTAGTTCAATCGAATCGGAGCTCCTAAACATGGACTTACGATCTGTCGGCGGGAAATCATTGCCGGACTTTTCTCTTCTCCGTAAATCGTCTCATATCCAAGGCCCTAAAGTCCTTCAAGTAATTATCCTTTTTAAATTTCTCTTATATGAAGAGACTCTGTATATTTGTGTTATTTTGCATCATTTTGTGTACATAATGGTAGTAGCTAAATGATTATTGCAATGAGTTGGATTCAGTATTTAGAGGAAGTTGTATTGGATTTTGCTGAACTTGTATCCGTAATCCGTGTTTCTAGCTCCACCTCGGGTGAGTTTGGATTTGTACAATTAACAAATGTTTGAGCTGAAAGAATTGAATTTGATTACACCTGCCTTTACATATTTTTGTTGCATAAGGAATTTGTATGAAGAATTTATATGTATATATGTGTAAAGGATAGCCCGATGCACTAAGCATCTCGCATTTTGATAAAGAAATGAACTTTGAGCTTAACTCAACCCCAAAATTTAGCTCATGAGGTTAGGATTGCCTAAGACCGTATAAGGAAACCTAGAACCCATCCCACAAACGATGTGTGACTCCAACACATTCATGCAAGGTCTGGGGAAGGGTCGCACCCCTAAGGGGTGTGATGTAGGCAGCCATAATTTTGTGTACCCATTCGTCAGAAAATTACACTGTACAAATAGAGTAAAAATGAATCTTTTTTTGTTTTATTTGAGTTGTTGAATCGCCTTGACATGAAAAAAAGAAGCAAAATTCAAGTATAATGGTAAAAGGGGATTCAAAATTGCTTTAGTTCAGATGTTCAAATTTCCAGTTCCGTCACTACATCATGGATGTTAGTTGTAGTAGCCAAACAATTGTTGCTGTGAGGTAGATTCTGTAGTTAGAGTGGGTGGGTTTGGATTTAAACTGGCTATTATATATATATTCACATTTTTTTAAATTTCTTATATATGTAGAAATGTTCGAGCTGAAAGCAGTGAATTTGATCACACCTGCCTTTACATATTTTTTGTTGCATAAGGAAGCTGTATGAAGAAGTTATATATAATTGCATCATTTTGTGTACATTGTGGATGTTAGTGGTAGTGCCCAAAGTATTATTGCTATGAGGCAGATTCAGTAGTTGGAGTTAGTGGGTTTGGATTTGGACGGACTATTATATATACACACATTTTAAAAGTTTCTTATATATGTACGAATGTGCGCTCTGAAATCTGTGAATTTGATTACACCTGCATTGAGTGGACTGCCTAAATCAGTGGAAATAAAGGTTTATTGCTTAAAAAGGCTTTAGTATCAATAATATCCAAGTTCAGTGATGACTAAAATCAAATGGATGTTATTCTATGTTGAAAAAAGTTTCTCAACCGTTTGTGAGAAAAATAGGTACCGTTAACTGTGTGAGATCACTGAATTTCTTAGTGCTATGGAGGTCACGCATAATTTTGACTTTTGTTTCTGCAAGAACATATGGTTGCATTTTTTGGGTAAGTTATGCCAAAGAACTCCTCAACTTTGATAGGAGAACTTCTTATCTTCGGTTTTGTGCTGTAAACTAATGGCTTACTTGAGTTTTAGCCACATGAACACTCACTTGATATGAAGACTTTGCTATCTGCCTTGCCGGAGTTATGCAAAGTTGTCTGTTATGTAACAATGGAGGACATCAATTCTATCATGCTTAAAATTTTGTACAGATAATGCATTTCATGGGGATATATATGCGTATCAAAACAGGTGTTGTTACAGTCCACACCCATTCTAGCAGGGGTGTACTCTTGTGATTTACTGCAACCACTTTCTAAAATTTTGGATCTGTCTCTGAGAGCTAGGTATTTGAACAAGTGTTGTTATTCAATTCTATTTGAAATATATCATAAGTTTCTGAAATCATTATTGTAGACAACAGTCAAAACTGATAGTCGTATCATATGGCATTCATAATTACCCATTAGTCATGGCTTACGAGCTGTGCATTTATTTATTTTAATAGTATCAGATATTTAAGCATCTCTTCTTTTAACATCGTTCTCTCTCCCAATTTTGATATATCTTTTGTAAATTTTAGAAAGGCAGTTAATTAGCTTTAATGCATATGACTTTGATACTAACTAAAATTTGTCTGTCCAAACTTTTATATTGGTTTTGCCTCTTATCCCCCTTTAAGTTAACTTATTAAAATTTTGTGCTGCACTGAACTTCTTTCCTTCTTATGTCTCCTATTGTTCATGGTCTTGAGCAGATATCTTCTGTCAGAGATATATCACGAAGTAATATGGCTGAGAGTTCTGGAAGTTCCAGCAATCAGCGTCTACTTAGATTAAAGCTCACTGATGGGCACTGTGAAATAACTGCTATAGAGTACTCTCATATACCATCAATTCCTGATGATGTTGTTCCTGGCACTAAGGTATTCTCCTTTTCTAACTATTTGATAAAGAAAATAGTAGTAGATGGTTTACATTCTCAAATACATCCTATTGGCATGTGCTTTACCGAGAATAATGTATCTCTTTTTTTCTTTAGAAGGAATATGAATGTTTTTTTATTACTATTGCAATCATTTTTACTAATAATTATTCCTAAATCGTGTAATTCTTGACTCCTGTGGGTGATCAATACAACCTTCAACATATGATATAGACATTTTAAAGCTTGCCAGAGGCGACCAGTTAACGGGTGTAATTTGTATCTAATTGCCAGTGATAGAAGTTCCAGCTCATGACTGTCTTGTTTGTTGGTAGTATACTATGAATTATGATATACTGCACAACTTAGCAATGATTCCATGTCTGCATATGTTCTTCTTTTCAGGTGCGCTTGGAAAACAAAGCCACAGTTCACAGTGGTATTGTGTGTTTGAATGCCAAAATGATTACTGTTTTAGGAGGAACTGTTAGTTCTCTTTATGAGGAATGGCAGATGAACAAAAAGTATTCAGGTTTCTCCCGTTCAACCTTGAAAGCACATGAGGATGGAACTGCTGGTCCACCACCATTTGAAAAGTTGCAGATTGGAGCTTTGCACAAACCCCTTTCTCAGCATAAGAGATATTCTGGTCAGAGGCGTCACACTTTTGATTTGACAATATATATTTGCCTTCCTGTCATCCTGCATTTAGATTTTTAACATGGAGCTTTGGCATACTATCTTTAAATGATACCTCTTATTAGTTGATCCGAACAAGGCAATGAATGTTTTTGTTTGTGGGGAGGGTGGGTTTTGTTATCTTGGCTTTCTTATGTATGGATGTTGCAGTTATTTAACTTGTATTAATATTTCCTCCAATATTATGAAGCAAATCTATCTCTACCCAATACTCTGGTGTGAGGATATTTCTCTGTCATTTGGTAAAAGAGCATGTCTCACTTATGCAGAAAAAGCTCAAAGTTCCACAGCTAGTCAAACGCATAGATTTCAGAACAATGAATCCAGGATAGAGAGCACGGGTAATGAACTGAAGCCACCTGCTCATATTGAAAGGACTGAAGAAAAGCCAAGCACCTCCGAATCAAGGCCAAAAGAAGGTGTAGCCTACTTGTCAAATTGTTATCTAATGGAAATACATTCCTGACATTTCACTGTCAGCATGTCCTTTCGGAAAAACCAAAGTTTTACTTTCACTATCTATTGAAATTATTTTTATCCTTAAAGTGTGTTCACCCTAACCTTCATATCTTTGTCTGACAGTGGCCGAGGCTGTCCCTGTTCAAAACCAAGCAGCTGCGCAAAAATTACTGCAGAAAATGAGTCAGCCTCCTCCTCGTGGTGGTCATCGTTCTAGAGGGCGAGGACACAGGGGAAGGGATAGAGAGGAAGATGAGTCACACCTTCTTACCCTAGAGGAATGGGAAAGGAGAAAAACTGGTGCTAATCTTTCTGCAGCACGTGATTTTCCTGATGTTAGCCAAGATGAGGATCTTGCAAGACAGCTGCAACATCAACTAGATTTCGAAGATTTTCATGTAAGTAAATATGGTTTTCAATATTCAAATGATAGTGGCACCTGACCTATATTTTCACCCTTTCAAATTCATAATGTGGTCTTTCTGTATGTAACCTTAAGATTTGAAAGGAGGATCACGCCTTGGCCAAGAATTATACAGACGTACAGCTTATATTTCTTCGATTATTATCGAAGTTATAATTTCTGAGAATATGACTTCTTTAAGGTGGACCAGTGGAAGCAAAGAACACGTTATAAAATTCCTCTTTGCCTCTATGATTGGTTACAATGTCTCAAAAATCCATGTGAACATTAATCGGTCTAAAGCTCAGATAGAGTTATAATGACAAATATTTCGTCTGAGTTGCTGGGAAGTGTGTTTGATATGGTTCTTATACCAATTTTCAGGAACAACAAGATAGTACATCAACTGCAGCAGAGAACATCAGAATGAGCATGTTCACATTTGAAAGAGACGATGGTGGAGGTCATGGAACAACAGGATTTAGGGGAAGAGGGAGAGGAAGAGGGAGGGGAAGAGGAAGAGGTAGGGGAAGGAGAGGCTGACTTTCGTCTACCGTTCAGCCTTTCCCCCTTTTCATTTTCTATGTTAGAATTTTAGTTTTTAAGATATCACATACCTTTCCAAAAGACATCACATGTCATTTTCTTTTTTCTTCTTTGGCTATTTGGTATTTGTAACTGTTTTTTCAGAACCATTATCATGTGATATGCTATGTCTATTTCCTTAGATGTTTCCCTTCTTTGATCACCTATCTTATGAATGAGTTAGATATGCTGTTGATATTTCATGAAAGTGATGGTTTTTGAGATGTTACCATGTGGTATTTAGTTGAACGTCTCAACTATGAAGAGTAATGGTAAAGTTGTCTTCGTGTGATGGTCGCGGTTTTGAGCCATGAAATCATTCATTGAAGTTTGCGTTAGTATGCGCTGCCTATATTACGCTTCTTTTGGGGTTGTTGCCCTCTCACTTAACCTTGTATGAACTCAGATGTTTTGTTTTGTGCACTGAGTTATTCAATATTGTATATTAAATCTTGAATATTCCTGACTTTGCCACTATGCACTTATTGTAAATGTCCATTGGCACGAGTTCTTATTTATGAATGCTCATTTGGGATTTCGATTATCATACTATTTGTTGTTGCTATCGTTCTCTTCTTCATTGTTTTTAATATGGATTTTCACTATTGTGTTTGCGTTACATGCTTATTTTTTTATATGTTTAAATTGAACCGAAGGTCTATAAGAAACAATTTCTACTCTCTCAACATAGAAGTAAGACTGCGTACACACCACCCTCCTCACATCTCACTTGTGATACTACACTGAATATGTTTTCGTTGAATGGCCATTCATTACTTCGAGTTGTTGCTTGTTTTTTTCACCTCATTGGTCAATGAAAGGGTGTCACATTGTATGTTTCCTTTTGGCTCTCTTATTATTTCACTCTCCTGAGTTTGATTGACCATGTGAATCAAGGGTCCCATTTTTGCTGACCATGTGGATAAAAGACAAAGGAGAGAAAGAGATGTGACAAAGTTCTTTATCAAGTCTAACAAAAAGCAGAAGAAAACTCTGGAATGAAATCGATATCTGTATTAGAATTTGATTATTCTGAATTTGTATTACGTAGAGTTTCATTCAAGGATAATAATCTCTATCAAGGATATTTTTCATACTTAAGACTTGAATCTGAGGCCTCAGATTAAGGAAAGAGCAACTCCATCCACTGCATCATATTTGATACAAAATTTAATACTTAATTAGAGAACGTGTACTCCAAATACATTTAAAAAGTCATAATGTAAGAGTTATATTTTATATATCTTTTGTTTAATTAAGTTGCGGCGAGAGTTACTAATAAGGCTTGTAATGAAATAAAGAAGATATTTTTATTCTTAGCAAAACAGGATCATGTCCTAAATTAAAAAAAAAATACAATGGATGAAATTATTCAAGAAAGAGTACCGTTTCTAGGGAAGATTTTAAAATAAAAATAAAAATGAAAAGATGGATAGGAACAATGAATTAAAATTTATTTATTTTTCAGAAAATAAGGTGGCATCCCATATTCGAAACGTGTTTTCACATGTATTATATTTTTTAGAGATAAAATACAAATCATTATACACTGACACATGGCTTTTAGTTCATTTTGTTACAATAAGAACAAACTAGGAAATTTCTTTTCTTTGTGGCAAATAACTAGTAAATTTCTTACTTTCTCATCTTATTGTGTATCAAATAATTTAAATTTCACAATTGATTAATTAAGAAAAAAATTAATATGATCAAGCAAATAAAGTATATTTTTATGATTTTCTCGATAATACCTTTCGTGCATTCCACAAATACTATATTAGTAATTGTTAACGAAAAAAAAGAAGATAATGTCACATTATAAAACTTACATATAATATTATTATTTTGTTGAATCATTTCGCCAGAATATATAATGTGCATCGCAGGATAATTAGATGTCTTATTTTTCTCTGTATTTTGTTTTATAAAATGTTAATATATCTTGATTAAAATATTCTTTAACTTTAATATTGCACATGAAATATTTTAAAATATTTGGCAGTACATTGTGTCTTTAACTTAAAATAAAATTTTCCAAAAAATATAGTTTTTATTTTTTGAATTATTTATAGTTAGAAAAAAGATTCTTGAAATTAAGCATTTGGTGCGTGCTGTTACTTGCCAGAACGCTAGAACAAGGAACAAGGAACAACAGGGCGCCGATTTATTATTAATCAAATCACGTATGACATCCGGTAGAGAGGGATAATTGAGATTTCTTCATTTAAACTAAAGTTCGTGTTTGAGTATTTGAAAATAAAAAATCTTATTTAGATTATTGTTTACGAGAAATCAATTTTGCAATGCGCAAATTTAAATATAATTTAACCTTAACATATATACTAAAGAATGAACAGAAAATCGAAAAAAAAGAAAAAAATCAAACGACATTAAAATTTTCAAAATTGAGAAAATAGCACACAGGTAGAACCCTACTCGAAAGACCTTGGTAACACGAATAGGATATGTAATACATCGATAAGGACGACGTCGCACCAGACGTCCTGCTTTAACTTCCCTAGCTCCAACTTAGCAGAAGGGGCAGTTTGGTTTCCAAGAGGTGTCAACTATAAAAGAAGACCCTATCCTTCAAAGATCGATCTGATAATACGAGTCTCCATAGGTACATAGTCGTCTTTGTTAGAAAACATTTTATCCTTCAATATAAAACTTATCAGTGTGAATTCAAATTTAATGTAACTTCAATGGAGATATCGAATTCGAAATGTTCATTTGAGCGAACATTACTCTGCCACGTCAGAATCCACCTCAACAAGCCCCTCTTTTTTATTATAAATACTCGTTTACCCCATATAAATTTCGAGTCTTTTCATTCTCATCAAAGAGTCAAGGGAGCAGCTTGGCAACTCAGCTGCAGCCTTTTCAGAGTTGTTTAAAAACACTAGGGTTTCAGAAAAATTCAATCTTCAGAGTACTGAATCATCACAAAGGAAGATTTAACGATAAGGGTTGTTCAGATCGGTGTCTGTAAAACATCTGGTAACTCGTTTTATGGAAGATTAATCTAGTTTTGTTAATCAACAAGTTGTGTTATTTGATCTGTTCATTTTGCTTATTTTCCACCTTTGATTGTGTTTTGGTTGTTTAAAACGTGATTTTTGATGTGGGTTTTGGTTGTTTGAGTGTTTTTTTCGTAAAATTTGATTTGGGTGTTGGCGTTTGAGGTCAAAATTAGGCATTTTAGAATTGGGGAACTGGAGGAGTGTTTGATTTTAGATGTGGGTGTCGGTTGTTTTAGTGTTTATTCAAAAAAAAAATTGATTTGGGTTTTTTGTTTGAGGTCAAAGTTAGGTTTGTTTAATCGGAGAACTGGATAAGTGTTTGATTTTAGATGTGGGTTTCAGTCGGTTTATTCCCAAAATTTGATTTGGGTTGTGTTTGGAATTGAAATTAGGCCTTTTGAATCGGAAAACCGTAGAAGTGTTTCATTTTAGATGTGGGTTTTGGTCTGTTTATTCACAAAATTTGATTTGGGTTGTATTTGGCATCAAAATTAGGCCTTTTTAATCGGAGAACCGTAGAAGTGTTTGATTTTAGATGTGGGTTTCAGTTGGTTTAGTTAAAAAAAAAATGTTTGGGTAGTGTTTGACGTCAAAATTAGGCCTTTTTAACCAGAGAACTAGGTTTGGTTGTTTTTAGGAGTTAATTGGATTTGTGATTTGTTAAATTGGATGATTGTTTGAGTTGTTGAGGATTTTTATGTCTGTTTTTAGTGTTTATTTCTATTGAGATTGGGTTGCATGTTATAGTTGTAGTAGGTTCCAGAAGAAGTGCTTGAGAATGTTTCATGCTGAAATCTATTGAGAAATCATGAGCTTTGTTGGACTTGGGAAGTGAGAAGTGCTAATAGATTGTTGATTATGTTTCTTTTGATCTGATGTTTACTTGTAGGCTCTGGGTATTAAGTTGATGAAGGGGCTCATGATATTATTGAAATACTTAAAGATAAGAACTACATATTTACTTTATTTTTAATGATTGGTTCTGATCGGTGAATGTGGGTTGGTATGGGGTGGAAATCTTGTTGATTTGGTTGGTGTTTACGTTATCATCTGTGCAACTGTTGGTGTATTAGCGAGTTGGTACAGGAGAGTGACTGAGAACTGTAATTTGGTGACTTCAGGTTGTATTTGACAAAAGTAATATGATAAGTTTTGAACTTTTTATTCGGATGTTTTGAGTAAGAAAAAATGAACTTCTGGAGTTTAAATTAATATACATAAAAAGTTTTGCAAATGGATCAGTATTAGTATGAAAAGATAAAGGTTGATTTAGAAATTTCAGTTGGGTTTTGCAGCCTCAATATGTTGTAGAGCTTCGGGTTTTGCTTATGGTGAGGCACATGTGAGGATGGATGCTCCTTTTGGTTTGGGCTGATGCTTGTGAGAATATAGCAGTGTTTTCCATCAGGCTCCAAGTGACCCTGGCTTATTATGCCAAAGATTTGGGTGGAAAAGTGAAGTTCTGTTTTAGTTGCATGGATGAGAGGACTTGATATCTACTGAAGATGCTTCATATACTAATATGATGTAAATTTTTTGTCAGGGTATGTGGATGATCACCCTAATTAATCCTATTCATTACTTGAAGTGAATATGTATCTATTGGGTGTTACAAAACCTGAATGGGTATGGTAGTTGAAGTACCGACCAGTTTGTTTGGATTAGGTGCAACTTGGTTGTTCATGGATTTGGACAAATTCAGAAGGAGATGGATTTATTTGGCTGACAAAGCCTTTTCATCTTGGCACGGCTTCTGTTGTTCTTTTTGTTTTCCATGTTTTGCAAACTTAAAAGAGTTTGATATTTGATCTCCGTTGCAATGCACACAATGATGATATCGAGATATTAATGTATTGTTGAATACTAAAGATGTGCGGTCTGTGGTTTCCGTGTATTCATCATGGGAACTGTAGTCAGTTCACTTCCTTTATTGAATTTTTCACTAAATACTTCACGGGTGTATATGATCAAACAAAGATTTTAACAGGAATAGGAATGATCACATCAGATAAAGGATGCAAGTAGCACATATAGAGGATAAATGAGAGAGAATTGTATACCATGGTTTGTTTAGATCCTATGCTGACAAAATGTGCACTGGTTCATGTGTGTGACACTGCGATGATTGGGGATGTCC